GTGTGTTTGCGTGTCTCTAAATCTTTCTCCTGCTAGGCTGCTGTTCACCTGCTTCTGTGCTTATATATGAAATGCTGCTAACTTCCTGTTTCTTCTCTTTCTCCATTTGCTTGCGCTTCGAACAGCCTAGTGATTTGCGGAAGCATCGTAGGAAGGTAATCTTAGAGAAACTGTGCAGCCGCATGTGTAACCCTCCTGTAACATCTGAATCTTGAAGATGTAGCTGTTCTGTTCATGTTAACATGTAGACGTCTGCGTTACAGCACACGCATGTGTCACACAGAGCTACACGCATCACAACACTCATTCAGAAACACTCCCAGACACTTTATTAAGCAGAAATACCAGACAAATATAGACATCCACCCAAACCCTGACTCACAAATGATGTACAGTTATAAGAGAGAAGTAGGGCTGGGCTCTTTGACCAAAACCTTCCCTCAATTTTCTAAATGCATGTTTTTGTTCTTATTGTGAATGATTAATCCATGCATTTGTTTCCTTGTTTTATTTATACATTTTTTGACCTCGTAATCAAAACATCATAACTGGATCTGCCAATGAAATCATTTGATCCACTTAAACTCCGCCTCTTTCTTACAATGCACTGCTAGATCACATTCAGATCCGCCTCCATCAATCAATGAAGAGAACACAGCCAAGTCCCGCCCCATATTTTTTTTCGTTTTTGATAAAATGTTTCATTTGATATACAACGCAATGCAAAAAAAAAAAATCTAAAGAAGACTGTTGCATTCACAGTTGAGTCTGATGATTCACAGCTGCTTTAAATGGACAGTTCACTTGAAAATGACAGCTGTCATAATTTTGTCCGCTGAAACTTGTTTCCAAACGTACTTTCTTTTGTGGAACATAAAAGATATGATGAAAGTCAATTGGAGTTTAACAGCAACACTTTTTATTTTTTGCGTTCCACAGAAGAAAGTCAGTCATACAGCTTTGAAACGATGTGAGGGAGATTGAATGATGACAGAACACACAACACTCCCATAGACTGATTCATTATTAAACCAATATGTCTTTAATGTATTCTTTTATACCTTACATTTTAGAAAGAAACATTTTTATCAAATTGAAAGTTGGTGACAAATGATCCTGTTCTATCAGTCCTAGTGAAAACATGTGTTTAATGCTGCTGTGTAATGTGCTTGTGTTTGTGTTTAGTGCGCACAAGACGATAAAGCCACTATCAGATGCGAGACGTCTCCTCCGTCCACACCGTCCTCCGTGAGACTCCATAAAGGAGCGCTGCACACCGCCAGCCACGAGGACATCAGAGACATACGGGGGTCAGTCACACACCCACAGCATTATAGTGATGAGGACCGTTCATACAGGAGCAGGGATGTGACGTGTGTGTCTGTGTGTGTGTGCGTGCGTGTGTGTGCGTGTGTCTGTGTCTGTGTGTGGTGTCTGTGTGCGTGCGTGTGTGTGTATGTGTGTGGTGTCTGTGTGTGTGTGTGTGTCTATATGTCTGCGTGTGTGTGTCTTTCTCTGTGTGTGTGTGTGTGTGTCTGTGTGTGTGTCCATGTGCATGTGTCTGTCTGTCTGTCTGTGTGTGTGTGTGTGTCTCTGTGTGTGTGTGTATGTCTGTGTGTCTGTGTCTGTGTGTGTCTTTCTCTCTGTGTGTGTGTCTGTGTCTGTGTGTGTGTGTGTGTGTCCAGCGCCGGGCTGCAGGACGGAGCGGGCAGTAATCCCAGCAGCAGCAACAGCAGTCAGGACTCACTCAACAAAGGAACCAAGAAGAAGAGCATCAAGTCCTCCATCGGCCGACTGTTCGCAAAGAAAGAGAAGGCTCGAGCCAGTCCGCTGGGGAAAGAGTCTCCTGGGCCAGGTGTGCCATCATCCACACCACTGATGATCACGCAACAACACTTCACTAGAAGAACACTAATTGTATTTCAAAGCCTAAATTAATCCGAGCCTATGGTTGCACCATGGTAATTAGTTATTCTGCTTTCTTTTAATTTTAATGAGAGATTTTGAAGTAATGAGAATCTGATGAGATAAGATGATAGAAAGCCAAAATGAAGAAGGGTTAAAATGGGATTTTAAAAATTACTGCTTTTAAGAAACATGATAGACAATATTGACAAACAAAAAGTACCAGGTAACACTTCACAATAAGGTCGCATTAGTTAACGTTAACGCTTTAACTAACTGTGATCAAAAAAATGTTGTTGCAGTATTTATTAATCTTTAAGTTAATAACAGTAAATCTGTCCATTGTTAGTATTAGCTTAGGTCTATTAAAATAAAGATACAACTTTTGGTTTTAATAACGTGTAAGTAAATGTTGAAGTTAACGTTAAGATTAAAAACGCTTTAGAAGCATTTTTCTTTCTTAGTTTGTTAACTGATATAGTTAACTGATATTAACAAATAGAACCTTATTGTAAAGTGTTGCCAAGTTCTATTCATAAAATGACATATTTGGTATTAAAGTATCAAGGTTGAACGTGAATAATCTTGAATTTGGACTAATGCACAGGGCAGAACTATTCATGATTCTGCTTAGCTGAAAATACTGAATTATATTAGGCACACGTGCTCTGTCGTCGATTACGTGCATGTAAATCAATTGAAATATTGTACATTTTAGCCTATTTAAAAAATTAAAAAAACATGTTTAATGGCAGTGCATGATTATCCAGTAAAATAATCTAGGCTTGTTTTATTTTAATGATAAAATCAGATACTAGGGGTTATCAGGACCAACAGATTACAGTTTCCCCACTGCTATTACCATACATGATATTCAGCATTATATATAGTACATGCAGTGCTAAATACAGGTGCAGACGGGGTCTAGTGTGTTTTGTGAGTGAGAACACGCAGATGTAATGTTCCTAGCACAGGCCTCACGTTCCTCTGATCAGTGTGTGTTTGTGTGGAGCAGCTACGCCTGATGGAGGAAGCTCACAGGACGCCATGACGCTCGGGAAACTGGGCGGCCCTGCAGAGAAGAACCGCAAACTGCAGAAGAAGTGAGTAAAACAGGAAGTAGAAATGAGTCCAGTTCATCGTGTTTTCCCGCCATCATCTCCGCTTCACTGTTCAATCACAGCGCCTCCTGTTTCAGTGTTGTTCACCATGAAATGTGAATGTGAGGTGTGTTTGTTAAACGTGTTTGTTTGGTGGGCGGCGTCCCAGCAGAAGATGATCTGTTATGATTCATGTCTCATGCTTGTTCCCTCCTCTCTCCTCACACACTCTCTCCACGCCTCGCTCATAGCCCAAACTCAGGGTAAGTGAACGCACACCGTCTTGATGAAAACACCTGCATGTCTCAGGCTTGCTGTGATGCGCTCGAGCTCTGCTAACATCCTGACCTTACAAACACGCGTCTGCTCCGCTGACGAGAGATCAATCTCACCTTACGATAATATCGCGATATGAAGTCCATGATACGATATTTATTGTGATATTTTTTTAAAAAGACATGAAGAATTTGAAAAAATTAAACTTTCTGTTCATTTTAAAGTTAAGTTATTCTATCAAATGCACTTTGAGAGTTCAAAATTAAGAGCTTCAACCCATGTTCCTAACTAATGAATGAAGTGTGCGCTTCGCTTTGAAACACCTAATTCAGACGGGATCAGTTCAGCCGTGTGCCGCATGAGTTTGCTCTGTGCTTTGATGAGGATCTTGAGTAAGAACAGCAGCTGCAGGGACTGACCTCTGCTGAAGTGCATTATGGGTCTCAGCCTCGTTCAGACTGTGGTTTAGTCCACAAATGCTTCTATTTATTCTTCAGCATGATCTGATGCATGTTTATCTGCCTTCTCCTTTCATCTTAATGCTTCAGTAGCAGCAAAACAAACAGACCTGAGAATGAGATGTGGTGCTTTTACATTGCCTTCAGAAGGTGTGCTGCCACTTTCTCTGCAATTTGTCATGAAATGTTTCCAAACATCTTGTTTAGAGAAGAATGAAGAAAATTAGGAATATTTGTCCCAGTGTGCAAACACAGATTCAAGATTCACCTTCTATCCTGACAAAGAGAGATGGTTCACCCAAAAATAGACAACAAATCTAATTTACTCCCCCTTTTATCATTAAAACATTAATAAATGAAGTAGTTAAACTGTTAACGAGAAGTGTTCGGTAGCATTGGTGTTGAGATGGTTTGGAAAGTTAGGTTGCTGTCTGGTGTGCAAACTCATGGATTCACACGTGATGAAGAATCTGAATCCCAGCTTGTTCTGGCGATGTTTCTCTGATTTGATGATGGAAGTGAAGTCTGGGTACTCCCTCTGCTGTTTCCTCACTGCACTTCTTCTCCATACTGTGTCTGTATCATTCTGACATGTTTGGACCGTGAAGCGTGCTCTCTGCACATGTGTGCGTGCTCATGATGTCTTGTTTGTGTTTCAGACACGAGTTGCTGGAGGAAGCCTGTCGACAGGGTCTGCCCTTCGCTCTCTGGGATGGTCCTACGGTGGTGGTGTGGCTCGAGGTACAAATACTGGCTGAATTACACCTTTATATCAGTGCTGCATCATCTGGAAAACATTTCACATGCATAAATGCATCTATACATATGTCATATCAGTTACAAAGAGTGAAATGCAGAGGCATAGACACTAGAGGATTTAAGAGCATGCACAATCCTACAAAAAGTGCTGTTCAGAAAACGTGTAGACTTGGTTTTAATTGCTCTGCCTGAAGGAAGAGGTGTCTGGCTGGATGTAAGGGACCTTTCAGGATTGTTAGACCTTTTTTCTGCAAACGTGAGACATCGATCTCATCAATAGTGGGAAGATCACACAACCAATAATTTTCGAGTTATATTACTAATCTGACTTCTCTGCTGAGCTGTGGAGCTACCAAACCACACTATAAGTGAGAAAGGCAGCACGCTTTCAATGACAGCTCTATTTAGATACGCCAAACGTTTTAAGCTGTTTTAAGAAAAAAGCCTTTGATGGGATTTTTTTATATGGTTGTCGACCTTTTTTCTGCAAACGTGAGACATCGATCTCATCAATAGTGGGAAGATCACACAACCAATAATTTGAGTTATATTACTAATATGACTTCTCTGCTGAGCTGTGGAGCTACCAAACCACACTATAAGTGAGAAAGGCAGCACGCTTTCAGTGACAGCTCTATTTAGATACGCCAAACGTTTTAAGCTGTTTTAAGAAAAAAGCCTTTGATGGGATTTTTTTATATGGTTGTCGTCCTACTTTAACGTCGCAGAGATGGCAGTCCCGAGAAACTTAAAACATTGAACATTTTCAGTGTCCTGACCTTTAATAAACAATGGCAAGACAGCATTTGTCCTCCGTCGGAAATCAAACACCAGTTCCTTTGTTTTTAGGACATTTAACTTCAGACTATGAGTACAGCTCCATTCAAACAGTGTAGAAACCTCCCTTCTGTAGTCCGATTGTGTGTGCGTGAGTGTGTGCGTGCGTGAGTGTGTGCGACTGTGTGCGTGAGTGAGTGCGTGCGTGAGTGAGTGCGTGAGTGAGTGCGACTGTGTGAGTGCGTGCGTGCGCGCGCGTGTGTGTGTGCGCGTGTGTGTGTGTGCGCGCGCGCGTGTGTGTGTGTGCGCGTGTGTGTGTGTGTGTGTGTGCGT